ATATTGATTTGATTTAGATTTTTTTTCTGTTTGCTCACTTTGCATTTTGTAAATTGATAAATGTGAACAATTACAATATACATTTTTGAAAGCATTCTTACTTTACAGCATTTTTTCACACCCGCCTAAAACATTTGCACAGTACTGTGTGTGTGTGTGTGTGTATATATATATATCCTGTTGCACCTGCAGACACAGCTGTCCCTATGCTAGAATGGGACAAATGATTCTGTAACCAGAAGTTAATTTTGTAAACATGCCTATGCTTTCAGTTCAGTAGAACAGAAAATGGCTCAGAGGAAGAACAGACTGTTTCTGGCAAGCACATCACAAATAGTAGGAACCCAATTGTGCAGATTGCATGGCACAATAATTCTAAATTGGTATTTATCAGTCATGTAGCCTGATGGGGAACTAATGAGAACCACGTTTCAAACATTAGCAAAGTCAGAGCAACCACTATTCATATCTATTGTATCAATCCCTCCTCATACAGACATTTTCCACAAATTTGAAATTCAGCACTGAATTTGGTAATATGTAGAATTTGGTCAGAATTTCAGACCGTTGGTAAGAATAAAAGGTGCATTTAGCCATGACTTCCTGCTTGTTGTTCATGTATCCGTGCAGACACCCAAACAAACACTTTGCTTAGTGAGCAAATAAGTTGAAGCTGAGAGTAGAATAGATAACTTAGCTTCTCTTAGTAAAACATTCCCATAGGAGAAGCTTTTGAGTTGGCATCAGAGATGGAGCCCTAAAAAAGGGATCCTGAAGAGCTGAGGAGAGGAACTGGAAAGAAAACTTGGATATAATGGCTGGCAAGAAGTTAAATGGATGTAGACAGTGTTACACTGTTGAAGATTTGGTTTGGGTTTCAGGACAGAGCAATGATAGCTGAAGGACCTAAATTAGACTGGGCAATGTTATACTATAGAAGGCTTGTTAATTCAAGGGCAAATCTGGAGGAGGTCACTGAAGGGAGTTGTCACCTGAGATGTGGAAGAAGGCTCACTGAAGACAAGAGGAAGCTGCGTAGTGAGACCCTGTTTACTTAAACTCAGGGACAGAAGATAACGGAAGACAAGACATTCTACCAGTCAGAGCTGAGGGAGGAAGCTTGTCCCAATCTAGGAGAGAAAAAAGGCCAGCCAGTACCTATTTAGCTCTTATCTTTAAAGTAGGATGTCAAAGAAATACCTGTGGGGCACATGTATGGTAGAGCAACTCTCACTGCTTGCAAGCATACTGTATGCAGTCAAGAGAAGTCTTAGGCTACTATATTCAGTAGTAGAAGGGGAAAAAAGTTCTCCCTGCAAGGCAGAGGGAAAGTTTAAAAAGTCAAGTGACAGTGTTATCAGCAGCCAAAGGGGAAGATGAAGTGGGCACTGGAATGCAATTAGCCAGTTGTAAATTCTGCTTCCAGAGCTAGCTGGTGAAGTGAAAGTAATGCCTTAGCTGTGACATGCTTTGTTAATAAACAAAAAATCTCTCCCGCCCCCCCCCCAATCCAAAGGAATTGTTGTTACACTGTGACATTCATCAAATCTTATGAGCCCATAGAAAGTCCCTGTGACAAGCTAAATCTCCTTCAGGCTGAATTCTACTCCTGATGATTTCATGGATATGTCCATACAGCTCTCCTGGCAACAACACAGAGGGTCACCACACCATTTTAACTTCCCTGCGTACTCTACCGTGATGGGATTTCCTGGTGGTGGTCTCCCATCTAAATACTAACCAGATCTCACCCTGCTTAGCTTTTTGAGATTAGTTGGATAAATGCTCCCATCTAGCTGGGCAGTAAGAACAAGGACACTCAAGGCAGGGTTTTTGTTCTTGTTCTTTTGGTATCTGGAGCTAAAAGCCAGAAACAGCGTAGTTGGCCATAGAAGTGTCAGTTCATAGATTTATCCATGTATGACTTGCATCAAATTGCATACATACATCTGTTCCTTAGGTAAAGATACAATTTTGTAAGTCACACAAGTTTTATCAATCAATTCAAAACTTTTTCAATGCACTTTTTTACCTTATATTTTTATAAAACAGCAGCCATAACTGGAAATTATGCTTAAAAATAATTGAAAAAAATAAGCAAACATAAATCCAAATTTGTGTAAACAGATTTGAATGAAAAACAACAACAATTTGAGAACGTTTGCCCCTGTCCCACTGAGTAGAGCACAGAATTCAGAACTATGCGGATGTATTCCGAGGGCTTAACTGACAGAGCACTTTTCTTTAACAGCATTCAAATCAGGGCTTATCTTCTCGTGTACCTTCCTGCAAGAAAACCTAATTACAGGTACATTCCTGAATAAACATATCCACTTTTTGACAGCATAGCATTCAAAGCATTTCACTTCCAGCCCACGGCAACATTCAGGTCAAAGACCTGGCATTGCTCAATGCGTTTTGGTACACACCATTCACAACAGTTGGGCTGTTTCTTTGATCACACACCCACTGCAGGTGCCTGTAACGTAAGCCCAGAAATTGCAAGGAGTTAACTCACTCTTCCTTCTCCTTCCTCTCCAGAACATTTGGTAGCAATCTAAAGAAATGGAGACCAGATTTTGTTAAAAATAAAACTGGGAAGCTTAAGAAACATCCCAGAAAAGGCAAGTATGTTCCCTGCCTTATTTATAAAAATAATAAAGGCAGGATTAAAAAAATCTTTAAGAAAAAAGCGATGATTTCTGTCCTTTGCCGAAAATCCATACGGCCATGGTCCCACCCTGTGCTTCAAAGAAGTGAAGCTTGGCTAGCAGTCTTTACCTTTCAAGAACTTTAAATACATGGCTGGTTTTGCACTTTGTAATTTGTTGTAGCCATGGTTTACTGGAAAGAGACATTGTGTTGGTTCAGACACAATGCTAAGCCAGCCATTTACAAAACCCGGTGCCTGGGTTATACAATATATTAAGCCAAAACCCAAACATATTGTATGACGTCTTAAGATCAAGTAAAGGGACAATGGTGGGGGGGCATTCATGAAGAGAATATACTGTACAGGCTTGGAATTTTTAAAACGTAGACTGTTCAAATTAACTCTCTCTGTAAGGAGAGAGGGGGTATTTTCTTTCCATCTCTTCTTTTATTATGGCTAGGGACTTGAAAACCAGAACAAGTCCAGGCCTCTCTGGTACCTTCAGCCATGGAAGCTAGATGACTTCAGTCCAGTCACGCTATCTCAGCCCAACCAACCTCAGAGGGTTGTTGTAGTGGGAAAAAATGAGAGGAGGTAGTGCTATGTTTGGCACCTTGAGCTCTAAACTAAAGACAAGATATTAAACTAACAAATAAACCAATATCTGGGAGGGCTTCACTCTGTGGGTTAGAACAGAAACTAAATATGGTCCAGAACCCAAAAACAGATGGCCACATTTCACCAGATTTCTCCCATTTCTGTTTCTGGTTGACAGTGTTTATTTTCATTGCTAAACTGTTTTTAATTATATGTCTCTCTCCCCCCCCCACCCGCTCAGTTTTTTCCTTCAGAAAGTGGATTCTTAAAAGCTAGCACTGTGTTAGATCTTCAAACAACAGCAGCTTCAGCAGGTGTTGAAAACACTGTGACTGCTTTCAGGGCTAAATCTGACATTATTTTTAGAAGGCATGAAAGGCACGTGTGTCTATGCGTGTGTTGTCAGGATCCACTTAAAAATCTCATCTGCAATTTAAAGCCAAAGACGTGGGGGGGGGGTCCTTCCTTCATACTTGATGGCACACACATTTATTTTTCATGTGTGCGCATATCTGAAAAATAAAGTAATCAGGGGAGAAGTCCCTGACCAGGACACAATCTATGCTCAGATGTGTCTAAAGCTATTAAGACCCAGTGCATTCAGACAACAAACTTGGCTTGTCTGAACAGAGGCATTCAACAACTGCAAAAGAAGTTGAATAGTCAATAACAAAGGTGATTTGTCCTCAACAATTGATGCTCTGAAAACACTTTCACCCTGACAACAGAGAGTCAAGTGAGAACTCGCCCTAACTAGATGCAGATATAAACTGGGTTATCATATTGCATTTGTTTAACTAAAGTTTAATGACTAAATAAAAATAATCTGTATTCACACAACACATAAGGAAGGAAGGAAGGAAGGAAGGAAGGAAGGAAGGAAGGAAGGAAGGAAGGAAGGAAGGAAGGAAGGAAGGACATTTTGACTCAGTATGTTATGTGAATGCAGCCACAGTTACTATATGAATAAAACAAAATGACCTGAGTTAACATGTTATTTTGCTTAAGTTTCTTCAAATTACGTGCTGTTCCATGTGGCAAAATTATTTGTTATTATTTAAAAGACATATATGAACAAGACCTATAAAATCAAGACTGCAAGTGAAACAGTCTCAGCTTCCATGCTCCCTACCTTCACCACAGAAACAGACTAATCAATAGCAGAATGTCACTTTGCAGGCAGAATGTCCCCCCATAGCCTTTCTATTTATTTAAATAGGCTGCCTTTTTGGACAAAGCCCATTCAAGGTAGTGACCAAATGTAAATGTAATACTATCATATAAAATTGTGATTAAAATTTAAATTTCAGAAATAAAGAGTCCAAGCATACATATTAAAATATAATTCAATTACTAGGAAAACATTTTCAGTAATAAAATACCAGAATAGACAACAGTAGACTATCATTTGATGTGATACATCTTCTACTCCTGCAATAAAAGAAAACATGCCTTCAAAATGATATGTAAGCACCTTTGAACTGAATTATCCCTTAATTTAAAAAAAAAATAAAGTCAGAAAGCTGGTTCACATGTGTATCAGAATCAAATGATGATTGACTAAGATAAATCATGACTAAAACCAAATAGTAGGTATTGGTGATATTAAGCAATTTATTCTTCTTCTTCCATATGGGCAATATCTAAAGTGATCCAGTCAGTTTACACATATAACTACAAGTCAAGTATTAAGGAAAAATCAAGTGAAAAATTTGTACATGGGAAAGAATTTGGAGATTAGGTTCATATAAAAGTATTCTCATTTTTGGCACTTAGGTTTTCATCTATTTTTACAGGGGAAAGACATCTTACCTATTGCACAGAGGAACTGTAAGCAAAAAAAACATGGAAATTAGGATGTTGCACAGCCTAATTAAAGGTTTGTAAAGCTTCAGCTGGAAATCTGGCACAAGAACAACTGCTCTGCCTAGATATTGTGTTAATTTTGGTACATCCTATCATTCACATGTTTTATGTTATCATTTATTTTATAGCAGTCTTTTTTTTTTTCAAAGGAACAACGTAACAGTTTTGGCCAAGAGTTGAAAACCAGTTTTGGCAGTGGAAAATTGAGCCTGTTGAACTAAGAAATGAATTCTAGTATTTATGTAGATTTTAATATTATGTACGAATGATAGCTGAGCCATCCAATTTCCCCTGTATCTTGATTAATAACAACATCAATAATGGGCACATGACGCAATGGAAATGTTGTAGTATTGAAGTCAGGAGGGGAAGAAGAATGTTTTTAAAGCAAACAGGACAAATATGAGACTGAAAAGACTGAAACAGCTGCATAGCTGGCAGTGTGTGATTAAAAAATGAGGGTGCCAAGTAAAATGGGTTGAAGGAGGTGAGAGCAGTGAATCTGAGGTGGGGGCAGCACAGAAGAGGGCAATCTCTTTGTGAAGACAGTGATGTTGCTGGGGCTCACACACCAGGCCAAGACCTGATGCCCTGTAACCCACTGGCACAAATCACAGCTGCCATGCCCCACCTCTTTTTTTCCCCAGAGAGAAATGTGGGTGGGTGGGAGAAAGAGATGGGGACATGTGGACACATAGTGGAAAAAGCAGAGAAGACTGAACCCAAAAAGAGAGAAATGAGGGGGCAGGTGAAGGATATTTGGAGGATAGGTGAAGGTGGGAGCGTATGGGTTTAGGCAAATTCAGATTGGATGGATCGCATGGATCAATCAGAAAGAACATTGTTGGAGGTATGTAAAATGGAGACAAAAGAGTTATGTGAAGATTTAAGGACAAGCGGCCCAGCTAGCTTTGACCTTGCTAATCTCAACAAATTAAGCATGATCAGACCGGGTCAGTACTTGCTGTTCTCTAGTGCAAAAGGGCGGACATGGCCAGCGACGAACCGCGGAAAAACAGAGAGGGGGAGTATGCAAAGTGCAGTGAGAGGGCAAACAAGCGAAAGTGCATTGCGCTGGAGTTGTAGGGAAGAACGGGTGGACTTTTTGAGAAAGAAGCTGTTTCCCTGGCGTCAACTACGGGTATGCCAAAACGGGAGCGGGGCAAGGCCCTATTTTCAGCTCTCAGAGGTGGAGAAGCACGGGAAGGGAGTCACGCGCCTGGCATAACCCGCGCGCTCTTTGCTTCTCCGTAACGGGCGCCAGCAGCTCGGATGGCAGGAACGAGCGCAGCCACAGGGCAAGGCTGCCCGGACCGCACGCGCTCCTCGGCTCACCTATCGAGTTCCCACCTACTACAGCGTCGCTTCCCCTCGCACCGATCCGAAGGAGGGGGAGTCCCGCCCTGCAAACCATCAATCAACACAGCTCCGTGCTTCCGATAGGCCGGGCGAGATCGACTCCGACGGCGGCGCACTCTGTCGAAGGACGAGCGTCTCGGGTTACTCGCGTTCAGCGGCGCGTTGCTTCACGCGCCCGCAAAACCTCCGCTCTAGAAGTTTAGCCTGCCTGGCTGGATTCCTGAAGCCCCATTACCTTTGCCAGCGTGACGGGAATCGGACGCGTTTCTGAATTAACGCTTTCGGGGTGCGAAGATCGGACTGAAAAAGCTACCCGTCATTTGGCGGCAAGAAGCCCAGATTTCGCACTAGAAGCGCTAGGGAACTCCACTCGCCTTAACATGCCATCTGCAGTAGACAACTCACGAGGATGATTTATTTCCCGCTCAGTGTCCCAAATAATCAGCGGGGGGTTAAAACAAATACATTATCCGAAGAGCAGACCTGTCTTCCGGGCTTTTGCTCCCCGGCAAGCACATCGGCTCTTGATCATGAATCCGTCCCCAACCCAGCCAGCTGGGGCAGAGAAAGAGCAGAACTAGTTCTTGGAAGGTGTTAGTTCGCACGCGGCTGCTAGTGCCTTCCCAATAAAGTTGCCCTTTTACAGCAACAGTGCACTTCGACCTTCCCTGTTGAAAATGCAGCCACTCCCCGCACAACACGCGCCTCCGTCCCCCTTCGCTCTCTGCCGTGCCCAGCTCGCGCGCGTCCGCGCCAACACCCCCTCGCGTTAACTCTTACCCTCGCCGACTGCGGCGCCGCTCCCGCTTTCCCTCTCCTCCTCGCGCTCTCACTTTCTGCTCACATGATCCGAAGGTAGGTGCCCTCCGGAACAGTGGGCCCGCCCACTCGAAGGCTTGTCTCTATCCTCGCCTCCTCATTGGACAGCCCGTCTCAGGGGCTCGCCTGGCTCTGCTAGCCGCAGGGCCACGTGCCGCTGGTTCGGCGAGAACACGGCAGGCGCAGTCGGACCGTAACGGGGGACTTCCCCGCACGCGCAAATACGGTTCTTGTTTACGTCTTCATTTTATTCTTGCTGCTCGCTTGAAGGTCAGAAGTCCTGATATTTCAGTCTTATATGCCTTGAAGCTAGTGGGATGAAAAGGTATATGTCATATTAGGAAGAATGTGCAGGGCTAAATGATTATAATGCTTATGAAGTTACTATGTGAGATTTTTCTACCTGCTGGTGGATATATTTGTAAAAACAATGCATAGCGTGCTTGTCAGTGCAATCTGAAATACATCTATGAAGGAAGTCGAATCTTAATAATATGAGTTTAGGATTAAAATCATAGACAAACGTGGATTTATTTTTAAAGCCCTTCCCCCCTTTGTTGATACTGTGGTATTTGTTAATAACTTAAGAAGCAAGAGTCTATATATCAAAATGGTTTTATACTTGATTCTCTTTAAGATTAGAAATTAATTGCTGTTGAAGTACATATGTTCTACAAGACTAAATCAGTTTTTGCATTAGTATCACTGACCCAAGAAAGCTTGAGAATTGATATTTTGTAAGGATTCTGTGAAGTGTGATAGAATAAAATTGGCACGAGCACCTCCCGTCCATCCAAGTCAGCTTACCAAGAAATAGTTAACCTTCTCAGTGGTATTTTAGTAGCTGACAATCTGTTCTGAATGCAGAAGGTCCCCAGCTTCAGTCCTGGGATGTTTAAGTACAGCAAGGCTAAAAACATTCTGCCAACTTCTAGAGACCTATTAACAATCAGTGTCTACAATACTGAGCTCCATAGACTGACTCATAAAGGGCACTTTCTCAACATTAAGTTTCCTAAGTCTATTGTTGTTGTTGGTCACACAGTCAGCCAGTTGTTTAGACTCTATTTGGCATGTTTATCCACCTATCAAGTCCTTCCCAAGGACCTGGGATAGGCAGATGTTGTTGTTTGATGGTGTTAAAAGTATCGTCACAGAATGTAAGTTGTTCCAAGTAAAGTTGCCTTTTGCAATTGACTGATGGTGATTTTGTCAATGTCGATGGTCT